TTTATATCTTAATAACACAATAATGACTTTTATGTCAGTCAGCCAGAGCCCTTTTCACACACAGCTCTAACTGATTCCAATTAGTCAGATAAATAAATTAAGATAGACATACAAATCTCTAGACAGACATGTTTTGTATTGTTTCGCCAATACTGCCAATTATTATTATTATTTTAAACCCTAAAACTCTGATACAGAGCAACATCAGAACTCTGATTACAGAAATGATTCCAGGACACCTGACTCTGATGTTTACACTAAACCGTATGATAACATTTGCTTTAATTGGCATAGGAGAGCTTATCTTACATGAATAAAATGAATCACTAAACATTCTTAGATTGGTGGGGTGAATAAACTAACCAGATTTAGACTGTATTTAATTAACTAAGCCAAATTCCAAATGCTTGTCATAACATTAAAAAAAATCTAATTTGGACAGTCTGGACTGGTCTGGGGCTTTGACCAGACATCCACTGCACTCCATTTTAATGGATCAGCTAAATCATTTAGGCGCCTGAAATGTGCCATCATGTATATTTTGTGAGGCCTAATGTGTGGGTAATCACAGCTGGGGTAACCTGACAGAATCACATAATGGGAAGTTAACCTTTTTATTTAAAAAAAAAAAGGAATAGCAGCCATCATAATCATAGTGATTTGCTACATGAAGGCTAACAGGCATCAGTCAAAAGCAAACTTACACAGACTTTGTCCCCTTTTAAACCTTAATTTTCACTATAACCAATCAAAAGTAGTTTGTTTTGTTAACCTACCGGTGCTACAATTTTGCCAGTCTGTCCAACCTGCATGTCGTTAGGGACGTAGCCAGCATCCACTGCAGCTCTGGATGCACCAACTGGAAAAAGAACACTTTGCAATTAAAATGGGGCCAAAAAAAGCAACCAAGCAAAGTGATAAATGACCCAAACTTTCCCAGAATAGAATACCTGCAGCATTCATTTTGTCTGCAAGGTCATAAAGCAACTTGAAGTTTTCTCCACTCTTCAAGCCCCTACCTGAGGGAGGAAAAAAGAAAGGAAAGGAGAAACCATTAGTCTACTGTGCACATTGTTAAACTATACAATAGCAAGTCTATGTTACAAAAAAAATATTTTGCCAAATTCAAACTTCAACAGTTTTTGCACACCTCCTGACACCACAACTTTAGCACTTGTCAGCTCTGGACGGTCACTCTTTGTCAGACTCTGTTTCAGCCACTCAGAAATTCCAACCGGAGAGGAAGCAGACACTGCAGATCAGACAAACCAGTAACAATAAAAAACAAACAAACAAATTTCAAACATAAAAACAAATAAGGTGCTGTTGAACATCATCCAAAATTTCACCTAGTTTCTAAGCGTGTTCAGGATAAATCTGTAAGCTACTACACCTTCTTCTGATGCAGCACCCCCTCCCTCTGTTGGAGCGGCTTCAAAGCAAGTCCCTCTGATGCTGAAGACCTTGATCGGCTCGTTGCATTTCACAGTGCTGAGGGCATTTCCTGTTTAATCCCAACATTTAATTAGATGACTACATTACAAAAAAGCTGACTTCCATTATAAAAGCGAAAGTCAAACTGATGCAGTTCAACAAATCTGTAACTCAGTGAGAATGCTAGATCTCTATATCACAACATGCTTACAAAAGATTACCTGCATAGATGGTCCTAACAAAAGTATCTGAAGATTTGACTTCAATAATATCTGAAACTGGGGCGACGTCCAACTTGGCAGCCACTCTGGGAAGCAGGTTCTACAAAAGAGGAAGGCAGCCACAGTATAGTTCACAGAGATGTTGCTTGGCATTTTGTTCACAGCAGGATTTTCACAAAATAGCATCAAGTAAGAGCTTCTGATTTCAGTTAAATATACACAATAGAATATTAATTCATTTAGTGACTAGACAAAAAAATTAAATAGTAATAAAATACAGAAATACAAGTTATACGAGCATCATTTGTCTACTGTGATTTACCTTTCCGAAAGCTGAGGCACCAGCACAGATGTGAGTGAAGTTGAACTGCTTTTGTGTCTGCAGGATAAGTGGAGTCAACTCCTCTAATAAAACAAACAAATCAGAATCAGCATACTTTATTAATACGTAAGGAAATTATGTGGGTTACAGTTGTTCCAATACAGTAACATTAACAGAAACAGACTAGACTGTTTAACAATACAATATGTTACAGATTTAGGAAATAGCACAATATATACAAATCACTCAATAATAAATAGTCCGATAGCAGAAACAACATTAGGCAGATGGCATACTACGAATGCTGTGACACCTGTTCTTAATCTCTTAACCATATGAGCGGTTAATTAAATACATTATTACTCCCTGTGCAAGTTAATTACCACATCACAGAGACTGGCAAATATTTAAAAAAGAAGCGCCAACAATACCTGGTAGGCCACCTTTGTAAGAATCATGTTGGGCCACCAGGACCTTCTTCACACCTTTCACTTTGCTGATTTCCTCTGCAACCTGAAAACACAGAAACGACATCCAACTTTCTTTGTGCATATCTTCGTGTGCAGCAAAATACACACTACAACATCCTACTCCGATAGCGAAGCACAAACACACCAACAATAGCAGAGGTGATCCATGCCTGCCTTTGTTGCGTTTTGTTTTACTTTGTTGTTTAATAAAGGGGGAAGGGAAGCTGAATTTAGTCTCCATCTAAGCGCTCCATGATTGTACTTTTACATTAAACCCAATCAATTTTAGCTCTGGAAAGCTGGAAGAAGTGCTGAATAAAGCCTGTCCTACTGTGCCTGTGGCAGCAGGAGTGAGTCTGTAACTTTATCAGCACACCACCACTCTGGTCAGAACCAGATTTCCTGCTATCAGCCACTTTTATTGCACCCTTAACAAGTTTGTCATCGGTTTAACTAATATTTACTTCACGTTTGCTCCGTAATGGCAACACAATCTGTCGTCATTTTAGTTATTCCATTTACATGCACGCACACACATACTCTGCACATCCAAAGCTTTACCTACCTTTGCACAGTTTGTTCCAGCAACCAGACAGGACACCTCTCCTCCCACTTTAGTAGCAGCCGTAATGGCATTGAGGGTAATAGGAGTTAATTTTTCATTGTTGTGCTCTGCAATGACCAAGGTGCTTTGAAACCTCTGCAGGAGACCAGTCTGAAAACACAATCAGTCAAAATGAGATAATATATCACTGTTTTGTTGGTTCTGCTGCCTAAAGAGATTAAAAATAAAATACATGCTTGGTAACATATGATTTCTGTATTCTTATCAAATTTGTTTCTCATTTGAAAAAAAAAAGATAGATATTGCTACCTAAAATTGACCACAGACACCATAATCATCACAGCACAATCATCCTGGAGTAGTGTTGAGCAGAAAAGCTGAATTCACTTTATCTTTATTTCTACCACACAATCCAATGTCATAAGTATCAACTGACCAATGTCATGTGTTCAAGAGTGAGCAGTAAAGTTGTATAACTGGCAAATGTCCTACATAATAATTTTTACCTAATGCTTTACCTGTGTTTATACATGCATTATTTAGAATAAATGGTTGTGCATTAAATATTTTGACACAGAGTCTGAGATCATCTTTAGAAATAAATGCTGTGGGAAGGTGCACGCATAATGTCCGGATAGAGGGCAAACAATTTTCAGTGCAGCCTCTAAAATGGCTGCATCTCACTCAGTCAAAGTAAAACAGGATGCTGCAAGCCTCATCTGGACATGACTTGACAAAGTTAACCAGCCATGTGACGCAAAGGTTATATTCAGATAAAGACCAGCAAATGGAGAAAAAGGACAGGCCATGTCAACTCAACCAGGGGTTCCCACAGAACAGTGTAAATATCTTTTTTCTGTGAAAAACATTATATGCACAATAGAGCACTCGCAAGGGTTACAGAGGACAGAAAATTATAGTTTCCACCTAAATTAAATAACAGATTTGAGTTTCAGAAACCTACCTATAAGTGCTCTGTCTTCATGACGTAATCTACTATGAGTTCAAGTTTCTATCAGGTTTGATGTATTTTAGAGGATTTGTGTCAGATCCAAAGAATTTTTAATAATGAATCTATAGCATACGCATGAAAAATAACACAAAACATTTGCAAAACTTTATAAATACCGTGCAATCAATAAATGCTAAAAAAAAAAAACACTTCCTCAATTCTTTTATTTTACGGCAATGTATACCCACTACAGCCTGTACATACTTATAGTTATAGCATATTCATAACATACCTTCATACCGTGTACATTGTAACATACCCATAATAGAACCATTTTTGTACCCTCATACCTATAACAGACCCATTTCTGTAATATATCTATATACTTATATTATTGCTAATATATATTTTGTAATATATCTATATCACGGCTAAAGCACTTCTGGATGGACGCAAACTGCATTTCGTTGCCTTGTACTTGTGACATGTGCAATGACCATAAAGTTTAATTCTATTCGATGTTATTCTATTCGGTGCAGGTTGGACCTGTGCAGTTCCAAGGTGATATAGGTGGTTTAATCTGGCAGATACTGGCCTGTGAAGCTAGATCAAGCTAGTTATTTTTGACATAATGAGTAAAATAATTAAGATATTTCTAAGTAACCCTTCCAAATTCTCATTAACTATGGTAGGGCATGTAAAGAGGAAGGGGAGGGGGGTTAAACAAAAACTGATTGGATAACAGGGAGAATCCCAAAATACAAAATACATAAGGAAACTACATTTTTCCTCCCACTTATTGCCTACACATCTCACCAGACATAGGTATTTTTAATTTTGACTCTTTGGTAACACCTGCAAGTGGCAGTTTCGTAACCGTTTCATAAGCATAAGGCTAGCCAGGCTAGCACTAACTAGCTTTCGTTCCAAAAATATTAACTCCTTTTTAAGCTATTTCACAAAGTAGAGATAGTATGCAGATTTATTGTCGCATTATGTTAACTAATACTGCCACATGTTTAAATTCCTTGTAGCACACTTGCATCTGGAAACGACAATGACCCGGGTAATGTGTAGCTAAGTCATAAAGCAAGCTAGTAGCTGCTGCAAAGAAACCAGCGTTTACTGTTAAAAACTGATTTAACCAATTAATGCAATGCCTCATTGTAAGTTAGTGTTAGCGTTATTCTTACCAAATGTTTCAGATTTGATTTGTTAAGAGCTCTGTTCATCTTGGACCCCGAAAGCTACAGCTCGCTTCCAGTCCTGCAGACACAAAACTGTGCCAAAGGTCATCTGACGTCGACGAGGAATTCTCGCGAGATAGCTTCGATCAAGAACCGCAACTTCCGGCCAACGCTCTTGCTCCTCCCCCTCCCCTCTTCCTCTCTCTCTCTCTGTAAAGTTCAACACCAAAATAAATAAATAAAAAGAAGCTTTCTTTTTATGATTTGTTTTCCGGGTCTTTTGTATTAAGTTAATATTTGTTTTCCTCTTCAAATCAAGCAGGAGCACATTTAACTCTGATTGGAGAGCCTCCGCTACTTCCTTATATATGCAAGTGCTGCGTAGAGAAAACGCAAAATAACAAAAAAATAAAGAATAATAGAATAAATTTCGAAACAGAAAGAAAGAATACATTTTGAATAAATATTATCAAATATTACCGAGATATACTCACACTTGATTCTTTGAAAAGCTTCTTTTGTGTGCAGTTTGAGAAGTGAAAAGAAAGTGAAAGAAAGTTTTTCTCCCCTTACTTTATTTTTTAAACACAAATTAGCTACAACACTAAAAAGTACTTGCAACATGAAATTACCAATATCTATAAACTCAGCATACATCAGTTCCATACTATGCGATGGAACTATGTCAAACTACATTGTTCCTTTTAAAAAAAACATTTTTGTAATATTTTTTTTAAACTACTTTGAATAATCATAATTTCTTACAGTGTAATCCTCTGTTGGGCTATACTGGGTCCTGACATTAAGACAAATGTTACAGGTTATATGTAACACCAACCTGAACTCTCAGTGTAACTTGTTGGTGAGTTACAACGTGACTTAATGTAACTGCTCAATGCCAGTAGATGGCCTTCTCCAGCATACTTCTCTAGAAGAAAACCTCCAGGGGCATTAGAAAGCCCACGGGACTGACCAGACTAGAGAAATCCCCATATCCCAATGAGAGAAATGATCACCAGTGTCCTTAAACTATAGTACTTTAAATCTTATAATGGCCAATACCACTGGATGCGACCACTGATGGGATCCGAAGAAATGTGACTAGCACATTTACTTAAGTACTTTCCTAAAGTCCAGTTCTAATGTACATGAGTTATGTTGCTTTCTCATTCTTCTCTACTTTATTTTTCATGCAAATATTTGTATTCCATTCTACTTATATTAAGTAATTGATCACTTACTGTGTTACTGATAAACTGCAACCCAGCAATATGTAAGTCATTAAAGTCATCAGTTCTTTTTTTTTTCTTTTTCCCCCCCTTTGCAAATTTTTTTCCACCAAAACTTTTTTTTTGACCTTTTTTTTTTTTACTAACCTTTTAGGCCCCTTGCCAAATTGGTTTCCGTTTTCCTTTTTTCTTTTGCCCCCTTTGCTTTTTTTTTGTTCCGTTGCCCCCCACTTGTTAAAACCCTGGAAACGCCCCTTATCACAACCCGTAACAGGTCCAACCAAACTCAAAGAAGCCACACACTGAACTGCAGGACTCACCATGCAAGACCTCCCCGAAGGTTTCTTTGTCCATGCCTCACGGATCAGGCCTGCAACATTATTTTCTGTTAGTTTTGATTTTGCAGCTGATCGACGTTTAAAAAAGAAAAAAAATACTTCGTTTTCTTTCTTATTTGAATTTATAGGTGCAACTCAAGATACCCAAGAACACCTTACAAGCAATTGCATGCTAAAATCACCGTATGAATAAAATAACAGTTAAAAAAAAAAACAGCGCGCACAGGGCTGCTTGATTAGGGCGGATGGTGGATATGAACTACCTTCAACCTGAAGTATACATATAAAGGACACCTTGCAGATTGCTATTATAGGACTTCTTTTCCACTAGAGCAAAACTTCAAGAGCTGTCCAAAGCAACGATCAAGATTTATGTTTCACTTCTCCAGCTGATTGATATTCAGCTGATCTATATTTCATCCAGTAGAGGGCTCCCTGCTGATGTGAGCACTACTTACTATGACAGCTTGAAGACAGGGTTGGAAAAACCACCTTATATGATATTTGCATAAAACAGCTAGATTAAACAAATAGGAAGAAAAAGAAGCAAAAGAAGAATTAGCTTTAAGGCTGCGTTTTCATTAAACCTTCAGATCAATATCACTTTAAACGCATCCTGCTAGCTTTAATAGCAAAAATCTCACAGCAGAAGCAAAAATTATAATCACATAAGAGTAGAGGAGATAAGGCCCGTGTGTACATTTTCAAGGCAAGGAATACTAACAAAAAATACAACAACTGCATAATGCATCCAAGCCACACTTGCTTGAAAATTAAAAAGAAAAATCTATAGCCCAGTTATGTTAAAGGTGAGGTGTGAACAGGCTTTGTGAACGGATCTCTTGCAAATTTTTAGGAATTTCCTGCAAGCCTTGAATATTATTAAGAGATTAATCATCAAACCCAGGCGTCTAAACAGCGTCAATGACATAAAAGTCCAAATAAACCCCCTCGCACGCACAAAATAAAGGGGAATTAGAAAGGGAATAATCTTACTTTTTGAATGATCCCCCATATCATCCAAGAAAGAAGTGTTGAGCAGGATATCCACCATACAGGAGGAATAGCCGAGTGCAAGGCGACAGACGGAGGAAGAAGAGGAGCAAAAGGCAGAGGAGACCGTCCCGTCCCGGGCTGGATGATAAACTTGTATTCCTCCTCCGAGAGGTGGAGAGAAAACAAAGATCATCGACCAGTGACGTCTGCAAACCTGGACGTCTGTGGGTCCGGGGAGAGGGTGCCATGCAAATCTCCTCCAAGACCCCCTGCTCTTTCTGTTCTATTGGCTTCTTGGGCTGGTTTTGTGTGCAGGAGGAGCGTGTGTGTGTGTGTGTGTGTGGGTGTGTGTGTGTGTGTGTGTGTGTGTGTGTATGCTGTGCTAGTTTATCATATTACTTTTTAATTTTCAAGCAAGTGTGGCTTGGATGCATTATGCAGTTGTTGTATTTTTTTGTTAGTATTCCTTGCCTTGAAAATGTACAGACGGGCCTTATCTCCTCTACTCTTATCTGATTATAATTTTTGCTTCTGCTGTGAGATTTTTGCTATTAAAGCTAGCAGGATGCGTTTAAAGTGATATTGATCTGAAGGTTTAATGAAAACGCAGCCTTAAAGCTAATTCTTCTTTTGCTTCTTTTTCTTCCTATTTCTTTAATCTAGCTGTTTTATCCAAATATCATATAAGGTGGTTTTTCCAACCCTGTCTTCAAGCTGTCATAGTAAGTAGTGCTCACATCAGCAGGGAGCCCTCTACTGGATGAAATATAGATCAGCTGAATATCAATCAGCTGGAGAAGTGAAACATAAATCTTGATCGCTGCTTTGGACAGCTCTTGAAGTTTTGCTCTAGTGGAAAAGAAGTCCTATAATAGCAATCTGCAAGGTGTCCTTTATATGTATACTTCAGGTTGAAGGTAGTTCATATCCACCATCCGCCCTAATCAAGCAGCCCTGTGCGCGCTGTTTTTTTTTTAAACTGTTATTTTATTCATACAGTGATTTTAGCATGCAAGCTTGTAAGGTGTTCTTGGGTATCTTGAGTTGCACCTATAAATTCAAATAAGAAAGAAAACGAAGTATTTTTTTTCTTTTTTAAACGTCGATCAGCTGCAAAATCAAAACTAACAGAAAATAATGTTGCAGGCCTGATCCGTGAGGCATGGACAAAGAAACCTTCGGGGAGGTCTTGCATGGTGAGTCCTGCAGTTCAGTGTGTGGCTTCTTTGAGTTTGGTTGGACCTGTTACGGGTTGTGATAAGGGGCGTTTCCAGGGTTTTTATCAGTTGGGTGGCACTGGACTAAGAACAAGTCAAGGGGTGCACAGGAAATAGGTATACTGGACGCAATTTTGTCATGTGTCTCATAGGTTTGTTAAATAAAAATAGGTTCAAATACAAGTTTTTGTTGGAAAAAATTTTGCAAGTGGGGGGAAAATGAAAAAAAAAGAACTGATGACTTTAATGACTTACATATTGCTGGGTTGCAGTTTATCAGTAACACAGTAAGTGATCAATTACTTAATATAAGTAGAATGGAATACAAATATTTGCATGAAAAATAAAGTAGAGAAGAATGAGAAAGCAACATAACTCATGTACATTAGAACTGGACTTTAGGAAAGTACTTAAGTAAATGTGCTAGTCACATTTCTTTGGATCCCATCAGTGGTCGCATCCAGTGGTATTGGCCATTATAAGATTTAAAGTACTATAGTTTAAGGACACTGGTGATCATTTCTCTCATTGGGATATGGGGATTTCTCTAGTCTGGTCAGTCCCGTGGGCTTTCTAATGCCCCTGGAGGTTTTCTTCTAGAGAAGTATGCTGGAGAAGGCCATCTACTGGCATTGAGCAGTTACATTAAGTCACGTTGTAACTCACCAACAAGTTACACTGAGAGTTCAGGTTGGTGTTACATATAACCTGTAACATTTGTCTTAATGTCAGGACCCAGTATAGCCCAACAGAGGATTACACTGTAAGAAATTATGATTATTCAAAGTAGTTTAAAAAAAATATTACAAAAATGTTTTTTTTAAAAGGAACAATGTAGTTTGACATAGTTCCATCGCATAGTATGGAACTGATGTATGCTGAGTTTATAGATATTGGTAATTTCATGTTGCAAGTACTTTTTAGTGTTGTAGCTAATTTGTGTTTAAAAAATAAAGTAAGGGGAGAAAAACTTTCTTTCACTTTCTTTTCACTTCTCAAACTGCACACAAAAGAAGCTTTTCAAAGAATCAAGTGTGAGTATATCTCGGTAATATTTGATAATATTTATTCAAAATGTATTCTTTCTTTCTGTTTCGAAATGTATTCTATTATTCTTTATTTTTTGTTATTTTGCGTTTTCTCTACGCAGCACTTGCATATATAAGGAAGTAGCGGAGGCTCTCCAATCAGAGTTAAATGTGCTCCTGCTTGATTTGAAGAGGAAAACAAATATTAACTTAATACAAAAGACCCGGAAAACAAAACATAAAAAGAAAGCTTCTTTTTATTTATTTATTTTGGTGTTAAACTTTACAGAGAGAGAGGGAGAGGGGAGGGGGAGGAGCAAGAGCGTTGGCCGGAAGTTGCGGTTCTTGATCGAAGC